GGGCGGCGCCCTCCCCGGGGAGGAGGGGGCCCCCGCCGCGCGGTCGGGAGCACACGCCGGCCAACTCGAGTCCCACGTGCGGGGCGGTGGGCTCTTAAGCGAGGCTCCCGGCTTCGGGGGTCTTGGTTCTCGCCACACCGAAAGCCGTCAAGTGGGGTTTCGGCACCAGACCCGGGCCGTGGGCCGCCCGAGAGCATGTGAGTAACGAGCCCTGGAGCGCAGATGATTCGACTCTGAGTCAGAGGGCTCGAGTCGAGCCACGACCCACGGGCCGGACGGAGACCTCGGCCAGCCAGCCTTTCGGCCTCCCTCTGCGGGGCTCCGAAGCCGGCCCGCGCGCGCCCGGGCTCTCCTGAGGGTCGGAGGCGGTGCGTGCGCGGGTTCCCCAAATGTCTGGTGCTGTTTGCCCGGGCACGTGGAGCGTGCGTTTCGGCAAAGCCCCTACTCAGTGCCTGGCATCTAGGAGGCGCCCTGCAAGCCTAGCGCCAGGGATTCATTTGCCGTGCTTTAGGTCAAGTGCCGGCTCCCTGTTTCCTATGTAAAGGAGTTGGTGAAGCTCTTTTCCCCCCACATCACCGTTGCGGTCTATTGTTAACGGATGGGTGGAATTTTCTAGAATAGCGTGTAGTCGCATGATCTACGCGCTGCTGCAGAATCGTCTCCCGGGAAGTTTGGTAGCAATCAAGTAACCTCCTTCTTGGCCTTAGATAGAAAGCTGTCGTTTGAGATGCCTGGTAAAGCAAGCTGGGAATATTGCTTCGAAGCAAGGCTTTGCTTTTGTCAATTCAGGAACTGCGTAGAGGAAGACTTATATCCTCTGAACAAAAGTGATGTAGAGCTGTATCTTTTGTACAGCCTTTATTATGGTGGCATGCATTCTCTGCCATGGGTGTGTGAGGGATTTGGGGGGCAGATGGGAAATAAAAAGGGGAATGACAGTTTGTCATCAGGAGACTTTTATTGGGGATACTTGTAGGGACAGAAGCAGGTTCCCAGACAGAAACCAGGAAATGTAGTAATTGTGTCTCTTGATCTTTCATTAGTTTGTGTGTGTATGTTGAATGTGGCAGTCGATTTTTAAGATACAGCAATAAAGGAATATTTTTCTTATTGAAAACAGGCAGTTTTCTAAAGCTAGAAATTACATTACTTTTAAATGATCTCTAGTGAGTCTTGTAGGCAAGAAGTTTTGACCACTGGATCTCAAGATCACATTAAATGGAGGAGAGGAGGGGAAGTTGCCAGTGAATATACATTTTGTGTTGCTTTAAAAGTTTTATTTAAACATGTTTCAACAGTGGAAGATGGGTGTTCTGAAACTACTTTAAAAGACAAAATTTAAACATGTATTTGATATATAGCTTTTGCTGTGATTTTTATAATTTGTTGATCCTGGAGTCTGAAGCTTTATATTCACATTATTTATTGAGCATCTATTGTATTCCACAGCACTTACATCTTATTCACATATGAGCAGTAAGTAGTTTCTTCCATCTAGGAGATTATACTCTACCTGGTAGGCTAAAATAAGTACCAAAAAAGCTGTTTTTAAAGC